GGCCTTGGGGGCGTTGTGGGGGCCTTGGGGACATGGGGGGGGCTTGGGGTTGGGTTGGTGGGGATGTGGGGTGGAAGTCTTGCGGGTGTGGGGTGGCATTGGGGACGTGGGGGACACTTTGGGGGCCACCTCGGTGACTCCATGGGGACATTTTGGGGCCATCTTAGGGCCACCTTGGGGCCACTTTGGGGACATCTTAGGGCCACCATGGGGCCATCTTGGGGCCACTTTGGTGGCCACCACGGTGATTCCATGAGGACATTTTGGGACCAACTTGGGGCCACCACGAGGACATTTTGGGAGCACCTTGGGGCCACCTTGGGGACATTTTAGGCCACCATGGGGCCACTTTGGGGCTACTTCAGAGACATTTTATGGCCGCCGTGGGGGATATTTTGGGGACATTTTGGGGCCACCGTGAGGCCATCTTACAGCCATCTTGGGGCCACTTTGGTGGCCACCTCGGTGACTTCACGAGGACATTTTGGGAGCACCTTGGGGCCACTTTGGGGACATTTTGAGGCCACCATGGGGCCATCTTAGGGCCACTTTGGGGCCACCTCGGTGACTCCATGGGGACATTTTGGGACCAACTTGGGGCCACCACGAGGACATTTTGGGAGCACCTTGGGGCCACTTTGGGGCTACTTCAGAGATATTTTATGGCCACCGTAGGGGACGCTTTGGGGACATTTTAGGGCCACCTTGGGGCCATTTAGGGCCACTTTGGTGGCCACCTCGGTGACTCCACGGGGAGATTTTGGGACCACCTTGGGGCCACTTTGGGGCCACCATGCGGACATTTTGGGAGCACCTTGGGGCCAGTTTGGGGACATTCTGGGGCCACCATGGGGGCCATCTTAGGGTCACTTTGGTGGCCACCGTGGTGACTCCACACAGACATTTTGGGGCCACCACGGGGACATTTTGGGAGCACCCTGGGGCCACTTTGGGGCTACTTCAGCGACATTTTATGGCCACCGTAGGGGACGCTTTGAGGACATTTTCGGGCCACCTTGGGGCCATCTTAGGGCCACTTTGGGGGCCACCTCGGTGACTCCATGGGGACATTTTGGGAGCACCTTGGGGCCACTTTGGGGACATTTTGGGGCCACCATGAGGACATTTTGGGAGCACCTTGGGGTCACTTTGGGGCTACTTCAGAGACATTTTATGGCCACCATGGGGGATGCTTTGAGGACATTTTGGGGCCACCTTGGGGCCACTTTGGGGATATTCTGGGGCCACCATGGGGCCATCTTAGGGTCCCTTTGGTGGCCATCTTGGTGACTCCATGGGGACATTTTGGGACCAACTTGGAGCTAATCTGGGGACATTTTGGGAGCACCTTGGGGCCACTTTGGGGCTACTTCAGCGACATTTTAGGGCCACCGTAGGGGACGCTTTGAGGACATTTTAGTGCCACCTCGGGGCCACCATGGGGGCATTTTGGGGACGTTTTGGGGCCACCATGGGGACATTTTGGGAGCAGCTTGGGGCCACCTCAGTGACTCCATGGGGACATTTTGGGGCCACCATGGGGATGGTTTGGGAGCACCTTGGGGCCACTTTGGGGCTACTTCAGCGACATTTTATGGCCACTGTAGGGGACGCTTTGGGGCCATCTTAGGGCCACTTTGGGGGCCACCTCAGTGACTCCACGGGGACATTTTGGGACCAACTTGGGGCCACTTTGGGGACATTTTAGGGCCACCACGGGTACATTTTGGGAGCACCTTGGGGCCACTTTGGGGACATTTTTGGGCCACCTTGGGGCCACCACGAGGACATTTTGGGAGCACCTTGTGGCCACTTTGGGGCTACTTCAGCGACATTTTACGGCCACCGTAGGGGACGCTTTGAGGACATTTTAGGGCCACCTTGGGGACAATTTTGGGGACCAATTGCACATTTTTGGTGTCCCCCCCCTGCAGGCCTACGTGGTGCTGGGGCAGTTCCTGGTGCTGAAGAAGGACGAGGAGCTGTTTCGGGAATGGCTGCGCGACGCCTGCGGGGCCAACGCCAAGCAGAGCCGCGATTGCTCCGGCTGCCTGCGCGAGTGGTGCGATGCCTTCCTCTGAGCCCCCAAATCCCCACCTTTCACCCCAAAATCCACCTTTCCCCACCCCGCGTACGACTTCCTTACCCCGAATCCGGACCCCGCGTCCCGAATCTCGTCGCCGAATCGCGTCCCCGCGCCGCTTGGTTGGATGGGTGACCCCAAAGGGTCGGGAGCCGGGGAGCCCTGTGGGTTCTGGGCTCTTTGGGGGGATCGAATTTGGTCTTTTTGGGGTCAAAATTGGGTTTTCTGATCTCAAAATTGGGTTGGGGGGACTTAAATCTGAGCTTTAGGGTCCCAAAATCGGACTTTGGGGTCCCAAGATCAGTTTTTAGGGCACCAAACGGGTCTTGGGACCTCAAAAGGGGTCTTTGGGGTCTCAAAGTTGGGCTCTGGGATCCCAAATTTGGTCTTTTTTGGGTCAAAGTTGGTTTTTCTGATCTCAAAGTTGGGTTTGGGGGACTTAAATCTGAGCTTTGGGGTCCCAAAATTGGACTTTGGGGTCCCAAGATCAGTTTTTAGGGCACC